ATCCGCCGCCGCCGCCCGGCCCCGGCCCCGGTCTCGGTCTCGGCCCCCCCCGCGCTGAGCGCCGGGCAGCACCCAGGCCCCGCCGCCGCGGCCGGCCGGGCGGAGCGGTTCTCCCCCGCACCCCCGCCTTCAGGGCCCCTCACCTGGATGAACTGGATAGTGAGCGCCGACTTGCCCACGCCGCCGCCGCCCACCACCACCAGCCGGTACTTCTCCTGCCCCGGGCCGTCCCTGCAGCCCGCGGCCATCGGGGAGGCGAGACGAGCCGATGGCGGCAGCGCCGCCGGGTCCGCCGCTTCTCTCTCTCTGCCTCCCTCCCTTCTCCTCCTCTTCCTCCTCCTCGGTTCACCGGGGCTGAGCACCCGCAGGCCCCGCCGCCCACCCTGTCCGCCGCCGGCAGCGCCCCGCCGTGCGGAGGGAACCGAGCGGAGCGGAGGGAGCAGCGCCCGCCCCCGCAGCCAGGCAGCCGCCGATACAAATGGCCGCCGGAGGGGCGGGGCCGGCCGCACCCCTTCTCCTTGGCAACCCCCAGGAAACTGGGGACACCCCCACACACATTTTTCGGACCCTCCCGAGTCGCATGCAGCTAAGGGGGGGGGGGGGGGGGGGGGCGGTGCGCGGCTGCGGCTCCTCCGCTCCGCACCGCACCGCACCGCGCTGATATCAAGGTGGCAGCCCCTGGGGCCACCCCTCCGCCCCCCCGCCTTGCCCCCGGCCAGAGAGCGGAAGGGGGAATTACTGATTTCCTCACGGGCTTCGTCCTCCTCGTTCCTCCTTGCCCGTCCATCCTGTTGATGAAGCTGAGTGCTTCATCAACATTAATGAGCCTCTTTGAATGCCCAGGAGGAGGGGATGGAGGTTTTAACGCCCCTGCCCGCAGATGCTGAGCCAAGGCTGCACGGAGGGGTTTGAATCACAGAATCTTCTAGGTTGGAAGGGACCTTAAAGATCATCTTGTCCAACCGTCAACCTGACTGACAAAAATAGACACCCCACAACAAACAAGGAGCATCACCATCACTAAACCAGACCTCCCAGCACTACATCAACCCGTCTTTTGAACACCTCCAGGGATGGGGCCTCAACCACCTCCCTGGGCAGCCCATTCCAATGGCTGAGAACCCTTTCTGTGAAAAAATGTTTCCTAATATCCAGCCTGAACCTCCCCTGGTGTAACTTGAGGCCATTTCCTCTCATCCTGTCGCCTGTGACTTGGGAGAAGAGACCGACCCCCACCTCTCTACACCCTCCTTTCAGGGAGTTGTAGAGAGCAATAAGGTCTCCCCTCAGCCTCCTCTTCTCCAGGCTGAAGCCAGAGCATCCTTCATGTCGCACAGATCCACTAGCAGGGAAAAAAAGGGAAAAAAAGGTCCTGGGGACTTTCACCCTTCCCCACCCTTCATCAGGTCTTCTGTGACAATTTGCCCACTCATTTAGGCCATTCAGATCAAGGCCACTCTCTCTGCTGAGTGTCACCTGCCCTCAGCTGTCACAACAAAGGATATTCATCCTTTTCTGTACACATTCTGGTTGGAGTCTGGGGTAAATTTCCCTTGGTCCTTCACATCTCTGCTGGGCACAGACTACTGCTTTCGGTAGCCACCTACCTAACTTGGTAATAATTTACTGCCCGATGTGTTTCTGGACATCCAAAACATCAGGCAGATGGCCATTGAACATACCACAAAGAAGCAAAACTTTTGCCAGGTAATTCCTTCTTCCCTTCCTCTCCTTCCCCCATTTTAGAAAAAAAAAATAATCTAGCAGTAAAATCATATCATTTTTATCCATATAAATGTATATTACAGAGTCTGTAATGTAGACACACTCCTCCAACATGGAAACTAACAAGAACAGGGGCCATGTATGAAAGCTGTGTTGAAGAAACTTGCCCAGTACTCACAGAGAATCACAGAATGGTTTGGGTTGGAAGGCACGGAGGGGTTTGAATCACAGAATCACAGAATCTTCTAGGTTGGAAGGGACCTTAAAGATCATCTTGTCCAACCGTCAACCTGACTGACAAAAACAGACACCCACCTGGGCAACCTGTTCCAGTGGCTCACCACCCTCACATTAAATTCCTTCCTAATATCTAATCTAAATCTCCCTTCTTTCAATTTGAAACCATTACCCCTCATCCTATCGCTGCAGTCCCTAATAAAGAGTCCCTCTCCACCTTTTCTGCAGGCTCCCTTTAGGTACTGGAAAGCTGCTATAAGGTCTCCCCAGAGCCTGTCTCCTGGGAGAGAAATGACATATTGTGGAGCTAATTAAGAAATAATAACATGATACCATATCTACACATGGGGTAAATCAATGATGTACCTGTAATCTTAATTTTACCATTTCTTAGCTTGTCATGTTGAATTTCGCAGTTCTTGCACTGCCTTTCTCTGCTTGTATAAGCAAAACTGTAAAACCCAAACCCACCTAATAAATAACATCTTTCAGCACTCATTCTGGCACAGTGGAAGGGAAGAGCTCCCAACACATAGGAAACAAACCAACACCTGATGAGTTAAGGGGTTAACCGTACCAGAGGGAGACGAGGGAAGCACTTTGCCACTGGGATTCACAGCTGTATTTTGGAAGAGGAATGCCAGGACTCAGTCCCCCCTCGGTTTGGTATTCTCCTGTAGTGATAAGCTGCTTTTTCACATGTTTCCTAGTTGCCCTGGCTGATGAGAAATAAGGAACAGCGCACACAGGACAGAATATGTAGTCTAAGATTTTCCAGTTTGGAACAGTGATAAGTGAATGGGAGATATAACAGAGGTCTGTAAAGTCCTAAGCAGCACAGAGCAATTGAACAGAGAAAGTATCAAAACAGGAGAACTGAGAGACAGCCGGTGACAGTATGAAGAAACGAGATTAAAACAAACAAAAAAGATATTGTTTTCCACAGACACAATCATCAAACTGTGGAAGTTGCTGCCACAAGGGGCTGTGGAGGACAAAAGTGCATCTGAGTGACGAAAGGTTAGACAAAGGCACAAACTAAACCCAGCATTCAGGGACTGGGGAGCTTTCTGAAACTTTGGCAGCCAGCTCTTGCCCACCAGTCACTTGCTGGCTGCTGTCAGGACCACAAGTCTTCTCTCCTAATTCTTAATTACACTCTCTAGCTTAAGGAAAAAAAAAAAAAAAAGTAGACTACGATGAAGCAAAACCAGAAACTGAACTGCTACTAGTTTACCATGTATTGAGTGTTTTTTAATAAAAATACAGTTATGATCACATAGATGGCTGTTAGTACAGTAACCAGTAACCTACACTGTCAGAAATGGCACCCACATGAAAAGCAGATTTTAAGTGAGCTTGAAGAAGACACTAATCTCTGTGCAAACTATTGCAGCAGGAAATACGATTTCTTGGTTTAAAGATACATAGAAAAACAAGCATTTTTATTTTCCCTTATCTTTTTTTAGGTTTCAGTTTCGTTATATATCCTTTTAAATAGCTATTCTCACTGATGTGGCCATCCAATCTTGTGACTTCTACAAGAAAATCTTGGTTTCTTTAAACAACACTGATGATACGTTAAAGGATTAAAAAAATTACCACAATCATCCATTACTTCAAAAAGTACTATTGCAAAAAAAAAAAAATATTACTGTTAAATTCTTTGCGTTTGTTAGTTTTGATAATGGTTACTTTAAAAAGTACTATTGCAAAAAAAAACCAAAAACCTATTACTGTTAAATTCTTTGCGTTTGTTAGTTTTGGTAATGAAATCCAGTTTGACAAGTAGAGCGATATCCTTGCAAAGCACAAGATAGTGATCACAATAAAACGAGAGATGGACTGCAATGAATGAACAGCTTTTTTTGGTTTTTTTGATATCTTTTTGACTGCATCCGAAGATCCCGGTAAAAATTGTTGTATAAACATAGGTTGAGGAAGAAGAAGAAGAAAAGTTTCCAGGTAGAGGAAGAAGGAGACGTCTGAAATGTAGAGCTATTATAGTCTAAAACCTTGGGTGTTCAAACTCGTCTTCCCTCACCACTGCGAGCTCTGGTTTCAGGAGACAAGGGGTTTACACGTGAATAAAGACATGGAGATGAGGAAAGAGCAGGTTTGATTTCAAGATCAGCTAACCTGGGAAAGGCTGGGTGGTGGGGTGCCTGGGAGGTGAAGACAAGAATCGTGTGACTGATAGGAGGCGGCAGGGGAAAATGATTAAAAAGGGGGTTTTGCATGGTCCACGCGGCCAGGAAAATAAATTTTGCATATCCCTAGGGAGGTAGAAAACACAGGGTTTCATAACAGAGAGGAAGAGCTCGAAATATCAAGACCTGAGATGATGAAGACGGCACCAAAGTTTTGACGAAAAGGCTGGGAAAGAAAGTAGAGCTTTTAGAACCGTTACACAGAAAGAAGCTGCGTCATTTCAGGTCTAGCTTGAATATGCATATTTAAAAAGAGACAAAATCAAGAATGACATCCAGATGGCAAGCTTAAAAAAAAAAAAGAGCACCACAGCGCTTTATATAATGACAGGAAAAAAAAAAGAGAGATTTCAGGAAGTGCTTCGGGGAAAGATCCAGAACTTTATCTTACATTGGCAGCCTGGCAAAGCTGTGGGTTTGGAAGGTTAGAAGACGTGTATGCAGTAAGTGACATATTGAAAGCTAAAAGTGCTCTGTGAGAACATAATAGCTTATTTAAAAGAAAACTTGTTCCCAGGCTTATCACAGAAAAAAAGTTACAAAAATCTTTGGGACGTGAGTCAGCGCGGTAGGCAACTTTAGCACTGAGTTATACCGATAATTTAGGATTATATGTATGGTGGCACTGGTTTATTTACCTCACCCAAGCAGGCCTCAAACACCACACCAGCACCATGTGGGCATCGGGACCTCAGGAGATCCATGTGCTGCAATTCCCACCAAGAACTCCACTGCTGACTGTAAGAAGATGGGATGAAACTGAGTTTCTCAAAGCCACAAGACAAGAAGCTAGGGAGAAAAATTACTAACAACTTGATTTTCCTTGGGATAAGAATGTAAGGCCTAATTCAAAATAAAACGGGCAATAATTTTTCCTGTGTATAAAATTGTGAACAATTTGTTACACTCCTGATGAGCACCCAAAAACTAAAAGATGAGCCATTTCTCCTCAGACAGACTTACCAGTTTCTGTCTGAGTAAGAAGTAAAACTATTTTCAGACAAGTTGCTACAGCTTTTTATAAATGTTCATCTATTTTTGTATCTACCTATTCCAGTAAAGTAGTCTGTAGTAAACACTTCAAAATGTGTCATTTTCTCTGAGGCTTGTGAAAGTGATCTACAAAGGAAAAATACTATGTCTCTACCCCCTTTTTTTCCTGTAATTTCTAAGATGGGCTTGTCAATTTTTCTTAATTATTATGATTACTTTAGCAATTCAGATGTGTTTATACCCTGGAGTAATTACAAAAAAAAAAAAAAAATCTTTAAACAACACTGATGATACGTTAAAGGA